ATTCACATGAATTTATAAGCTTGGCATGTGCTAGCCTGCAATAGTTTACTTCAGAGCACTCAGCAGCACTCTGGAGACTTTTTACTATAAAAGGGTATTCTGAACGTTTGAACACCCTGTGTGAGCAGCTTATGTTGATACAAAACAATGGGCCCCACTGCAAAGTTTTTATGGGCCCTAATCAGTGAAATGTGACCTATCATGCATCTCTATAGTGGGTGAGAGGTGGGTGACAAATACACCCCTTCATGGCTTCCTCTACACCCCATAACACACGAGTCACTGTAACCGATGACTTAACCATGCAAACTGAGCGGGTCACTTCACAGTCCAGAAGTGCAGGCCGGGTTCATTAAGCTGGCTGCACACTAGGGCTTTACCATGACCTGAATGAGGAAAAACACCTACTGTGTGAATAAGGGAATTTCCCTTGCTGGTGCCCACCACTGTCAGAATACCCGAAGAGTGACTGCAGCCAATTGGTTGCAGTCATCACTGCTTGGTCCCATGTTTCGGCTTGGCTCCTTTGTCAAAAGTCTTGCTGGCAGGTCTACAAACAGCTTGAATTTCGGCCGAGTCAGCAGGACTTGATAACAGGATGTTTGTCATCACATGTGATGACAAACATCGGAACGTGCGGCAGATTTATAATCCCAAAGTGTCCCTTAGCACCATCCTGACCAAGTGAGAGTCACAAGATATGTAGAAGGTGTACCATTCCTTTAATTTAAGTCCATATAAAAAATAGTTATCAAGCAATCTGCCTCCAACCAATTTGACATGTTCGGGCACCTTTGTGAACTCCAGTCCTAATTTATTTGGGGTCTCATCTCTTTTTTTCAGTGGGCTTGGGTGAACTGGGTTTGCACCAAGCCCAGGCTCATCACTACTCCTCATATGCTATGCCTATCCTGAGACGGATGGGTGTCCGAGCAGAGGAGCTCATCCCTTGCAGTCAGCCAGAACTAAGCTGGCTTTGAAAAGTGGACCATCGTGCAGAATAGCACACGTTGCATATAGTAGCAAGCAGTCTGTGTTTTTCAAACCCTGAGAGAGCAATCAAAGAAATCTTTCAGTGTAAGGGGAAACATATGAGCCAGGGCCCTATCTGAATCCAGACCCCCCAAGGGCCACACAGGCTGTAGTTACCCCCTTGGTTAAGTTCTGTCAACCCATATACAGCCAACATCCCGATAAGGAATTGCAAAATTCCCCAAATTGTAAAGCTGTCCAGACACGGCTTCAGTTGTGGCTGAATCCGTCGAAATTGTCTTAAATTTGAACTAAACATCAACTGAGCTGGGTGGAGAATTCTTAGCCAATCAGTGATTGCATCTTATCAAATGCAGTCACTGTTTGGGTACTCAAAACAGTCATGGATGCCACGTGTGCTGCATCAATAGCCGGCAGCAGAGATTCCTCCATCCACGCTGTTTATGTGTGGATGGTGGAATCTATCGATTTTCTCTCAATTGGGCTGCGAGGTTGACAACGAAAAATCTAGCCACGTATGACTACTTTGCCTTTCACCAATTGTGTTTTCGATACTCCGGTCAAACGACAAATTAACTCTTGCAGTGGCGCTACCTCCGCACTGCAAAGGTTGAGTGCTCATTTTGGTCTAGGGTGGAAAATCAAAAAGCTATCCTCACTCAATCACTGATCTGACCTGGTTGCTAGAATAGTCCCCACAGCCTCTCCCCCCCAACTCCACTCCGGTAGTGGAGTGTCTCTCGGTATCCTCACATCTAGTACGCTGTATAAGACATGATGATTTTTTTCAGGGTTCTTAGACCGCTGGCACGGAGGGGGCGAAGAGGCTGCAGGGACCGGTCTGGTGGGACCAAGGGTAAAATTAGTATATCTTTTTCACATCCTAGATCACTTAACCCTTGCAGTGCGGGGGTAGCCCCACTGCAAGGGTTACTTTGTCAATTGCCCAGAGTTGTTCTTTAAACATATTGCATACCTTTAATATATATAGCAAACATGACATATGCACCTTTGAAATGTTAAAATCCAGAAATAGGTGTCCTTGGGCTTTTCTGCAAGGTGAAATGGTACTGATTGACTGATTGTTTTGTGTTTCCACTACTTCCATTGTCTTTAATGAAGATGCATGTGGGGAAAGGGGGGGGTGTTATCTGGACAGTGTGGACACCTGCTATGGCCCCAGGCCTGGTAAGGTGGCTGTGACAGAAAACTTTCAGGGACTTCCATATCATGCACTGGCCATTTTTTTCTCCATTAGCCCCATAGGCTGAAAAAGAAAAATCCCCACGATTCCCACTTCTGCGCTAAAATCCTGGATATGGGAGTCCCTCCTGCCAATCTATTGTACTCCGACAGTGGTGAATTGGCCAAAGTCAGAATACCCCCAAACAGTGAATGCAGTCAGTGTTAATCTGGAAATTTGGATTTTGTCGAATGGGGGGGGGGATAGTCCTGATAGGGCCACGCGATGTTCGAATTTTGGTTGACTTAGCAGGACTCGATCAAAAATTCGACCAATAATTCTATTTTTCCCATGTATTGTAGCACATTTACATACATTTTTGTTATGTGCTGCAGTACGTTTTTGATGTGTAAATAATTGTTTTCATGCATCATGAGGTGGTCAATGAGGACTGTTTCCCTGCCTTGACATCATAGTTGTAGACTTTGGGAAGCATCTTGTTCCTGGATTTCGGTGTCTTGTGTTGAGCAATCTCATCACAATAAAGGAAATGTCATCATAAAATAAAAAATGGACACTGTCACCAGTCAACAACTTTTTCTTACCATTTTTACCAGGAGCTGGAAATGTAACAAAAAAACCAAAACATCAAAATGCATTATATGTGCATTTTTGCATGCATTGCCATAGACTTCTATGGGCTGCTAAGCCCATGAAAAAAGCACAGAAGAACGGTCATGCCTCAATTCCCATAATGCAAAGCATTGCATAGATGTGAAGGGGCTCACTAGTTTAAGGTCTTACTCACACCAGGTTGGCTGGCATTTCCCCTCAAAGTCCCAGAGCAAAGACAAGGCACATTGATGCAACAAAGTACAACCACATCGCACGTCATGCTGTGGCTGATAGAACTAAATAAAATGTAACATTTTGTAACCTAACCTAAAATTGGTGGCGTATGGGCTTCTTTAGGTTACAGTGGTTACATTTTGGAACTCTCTTCCAAAAGCAGTGGTATCAGCACAGAGCATTGAATCATTCAAAAAATCATTTAGATACCATCCTCAGAGAATGTAAACATACAGGGGTACAGGTACTCTTAAAGGGTTTCTAAACCCTTCCGTTTGTTTTGCCTATATCTACTGCTAGCAAGCAGTAGATATAGCAAGCTAGCAAGCTAGCAAGCAGTAGATATAGCAAGCTAGCAAGCAGTAGATATAGCAAGCTAGCAAGCAGTAGATATAGGCAAACAGTTTTAAAAAAAAACAAACGTTTTAAACTTACCTTGTTTTCGCTGTGTGCTCCCGCCCGAGAAAACGAAACTGTTTGGGCGACTGCAAATCATCTTGGGGTATGCACAGTTCAGATTCTCGGCTGGGAGACGAGCAGAGACGCAAGGTAAGTCTACGGACGCGTGCACCCGCATGCAGACACCGTGGGATCAGAAGTGCCAGCAAGCAGAGAGGAGTCAGCGCTGGATCGGAGAGCCGCCGCACCGCTGGAGGGACAGATGAAAACATCAGGAAAGAAGATCGGATTAAGAGACATCATTTAAGGTAAGTGCTGACATTAACATCGGGAGTAGGGAAAAATTTATCCTTTAATGTCACTTTAAAGATTAGACCACACAGGGACTCATATCTACACATGCACACACAAAGGGTGAACTTGATGGACCTGTGTCTTTATTCAACCTCAAATACTATGTAACATTTCCTAAACGTTCTAAAAAAACCAACAACAAACAATCTGAAACTTTGGGATCATAACATCAACATTGCCTCTCCAAGTGCACATTGGCGGCCGTGTGTTCAGCATGGTTGGCTTTTGTCGAATGAGGGGGGTTCCTGATAGGGCCACATGATGGTCGAATTTTGGTTAGCAGGACTCGGTCAAGATTCGACCAATAGATATTTGTTTTTTTCCCATGCATTGTAGCACATTTACATACATTTTTGTTATGTGCCGCAGCCCTTAAAGTGTTTCTATGACAATTTTGTTTCCTTGCATTCCAATGCATGGGCTAAAAACGTGGAGGTGTGAGCCGGGCCTTAATATTATTGTGGTTGTGCTATTTCACCATGCCCCTCAGATTTCCCATGCCCCACAGATTAACATTTTTGGTTTATTGTGTTTCAAAGGAGAAGAGAGCAGAGGGCAGTGAATGACTCTTCACCTGCAGCCTTTCATTCAGCCCCATCTCTGTGCCTCACAAAAGATTCACATAGGCTGAGTCTGAGGTGAATAGCCCCAGGGGATGCTTTTTGCTCTGAGAGGGAACACCGAGGGGCGTGGTCTAAACTCCATAAAGTCGCCATAGAACTTCATATCTCCTCACGCAGTACTCATCCACACAGGGACAATCTAAAGATATACAAGGACTCGTATGCTGGCAGAATTGTTACTTTCTTTAGTTGTAGCGAAACATTTGCTACTATCTGCAGACATTAGGAAAGAACACAATACTTATAACATTTAACAACATACTTCGGTAAGCCCCGCCCAGTACATGACGTATTTGACTTTAAAAAGTCTGAGGCGCCCGAAGTGTGGACAAAGAGTGTACAGAAGTGTGCTGTGGTGTCGTGCGTGGAGTTTTCTCTCCCACGGGTGAAGAGTTGCCCAGTAACAGTGTGTCCTGGTAGCAGAGTACGGTCTGGTTGCCAGGACTGTGCATTCTGCTCTCATTGTCCATGCTCTGGCATCCGGAATGTGATTGTCCAAACTGTGACATGTAAGGATCCGATTACCCCGAGCTGTGATTGGCTGGCCGGCCCCCTGGGGACTGATACAATCTGTACACGGTGTTCAGGATCACTGCCTCAGCACTGTCCCATTGCCTCATGGATGTCTGAACGGAGGATCGCTCTCATCTGCCATTGTTCAACATGTCTCCTCATCCTTGCCATGGGTCGGACCGTGCGTGGCTCTCCCGGTGCCTGGAGGTGACCACAGAAAGTCTCAGAGAACTCCATGACATGAGACAAGAAGCAGAGGACAGGGTCAGGGGGGTCCTGGGTGACCAGCGGAGGGCACGGGAGAGTAACTGGTCCAAATGGCCAAGGAATCTGGCTGCAGAAGACAGCATGAGTCGGGGGAAAGCTGCGTGGAGGAATCAAGACTCGGCCAGAGCTAAGAACTCCGAGCTAGAGCATATAGAAGAAGAGGTGTCTGGGCTCAGACAGAGGAACACCATGGGAAAACGTCGGAAGAGATCCTCCACCTCACAGCTTCCAGATCTAGACCACAGCCTGGAGCCAGGGAAGGGAAGAGCTCAGGGGCCCAATGACCCCCACCGAAGCAGGGTGCCATCCAGCCCGGTCCATGTACTGTCACAGGAGCTGCAACAGAAGATGATCCTACCAGAAGATGCAGAGAGGGACCATGTAAAGGTCAAAGGATCCAGAGAGATCCAGGAGAGGGACCATGGAAAGGCTACAGGATCCAGAAACATCCAGGAGAGGGACCATGGAAAGGCTACAGGATCCAGAAACATCCAGGAAAGGGACCATGGAAAGGTCAGAGGGATCCAAGAGAGTGACCATGGAAAGGTCAGAAGATCCAAAGAGATCCAGGAGATGGACCATGAAAGGTTTAGAGGATACAGAGAGATCCAAGAGAGAGACCATGAAAAGGTCAGAGGATCTAGAGAGACCCAAGAGAGGGACCATGGAAAGGTCAGAGGATCCAGAGAGACCCAAGAGAGGGACCATGGAAAGGTCAGAGGATCCAGAGAGACCCAAGAGAGGGACCATGGAAAGGTCAGAGGATCCAGAGAGACCCAAGAGAGGGACCATGAAAAGGCTACAGGATCCAGATACATCCAGGAGAGGGACCATGGAGAGGCTACAGGATCCAGAGAGATGGAGGAAAGAGAGGACAGTGTCTGCAGAGACAGAACAGAGAGCTGGCAGAGCCCAATATGGGGAAACGGAGCGGGCCCAGCGCAAAGGGCACAGGAGAAGGATATAGACCAGGACAGCCTGCCAGTGACTGAAGGCACAGAGGTGAGATCACAGAACATTGTTTATAGGATTTATATAAAGCTAAAAACAAAATCTTTCTATATTGCAGCTTACTAGTCCCTAAACGTGCTGGCTGCATTAGTTTTCTTTTTAAATACTTTTCCCCCCCTTTATTTGCTCCTGGTGATGCTGCTAGTAACACACTTCTTGTCCAACAGGGACAATGCGTGATGCGTGGGACTCATTCACACTTGGGTGGGAAGCTGCGTCTTTCAGCAGTAATAATTTGCAGACAATTGTTTATGTGCCCTGTTCACACTGCAGAGCAGGAGTTATCTACGGTGCATTGTGCTGCAGAAAAATGCAGACATGTTGCATTGTTCCACGGCACACTGGATGGCAACCCAGGCCACTGCAGTGTAGTAGATTGCACTGCAGTGAGGGGACATGAGTGGGGTGTACAGTTTGTACGCTGCAAATAAAGTAAACAGTGCCTTGCATTTAACAACACATGGCACTGGGGCTCACCACTGTCACTTCAGTGGGCACTAACTGCACAGTGAAGGGTTGTCATTCTAGGGTGCTGTCCTGATTTGGACTACAAAACACCTCCCTCTCCTATCATCTCCATTAAATAAGCAGGAAGGGTTGTGTAGTTCGCAGAAGATAACTAGAAAAACTAACAACATTGTTCAGTAGACAGAAAATGACAAGGATACTGAATTTCTAACAGGATCAACAGATATTCTTCTGTACTGGCAGGAAATGTACTTAGCCTGAAAGAAGAAAATGATGGGTGCCATGCACAGCTGCTCCAGATTTGATAAATCCCCCTCTATATATTTATAAAGCATATTCATGTAGGAGGTCAATATACAAGCTTGGATGAATCACAATAATATACCTGGGGGGGTATATATTAAAACTGGAGCAGGTGCCCAGGGCTACCAATCAGCTTCTATCTTCCATTTTCAAAGATTAACTGAACAAACTGAAGAGAGAAGCTGATTGGTTGCCATGCACATCTGCTCCAGATTCTGTCTGTTCAAGTTTTAATAAATTGCCCTCGTACAATTCCTTACGATAACCATTACATTGGGTGTACAGACTTAAAGCCCATCTCTGGCCAAACAAAACATGTGCCCTTGCAGTGAGGCTACCCTCACACTGGAAGGGATAAGTGCTTGTTTTCTCTATGAGGCACCTTACCTGATCCTCGGTCCCGCTAGTTCCCACCAGGCTGCTAGACCAGTCCCTGCAGCCTCTTCTCCCCTTCGGTCCGGTGGTCTAAATGATGACCACTGACGTCATCATGTCTTATCCAGGTCTATAAACCTGCATTAGATGTGTGGATGCCAAAGAACATTCCAGCATCTGGAGTGGAGGGGGAAAAGAAGTGAGCAATGACCGCCCAGGAGCCGGGATCAGGAAAGTAAAACTGCTTTATATGCGTTCCCTAGAAAAAAACCAAGCACTTAACCCTTGCAGTGCGGGGTTGCTGTTCTTATAAGGCACTGCCTGTTTCTTTTTAGGAATGTTTTTGTGAACAGAACAATTTGATACACATTTTATGGAAGACTAAAGTTTTGTTGCTGGTTTAAGAAGATGTTCTGCTCATGGGGAGGATAGCACCAGGAGAGACAACAACACTGATGTGACCAGGCCCACAACTATTCTATCTTTTCCTTTACATAACAAAGTAACAAATGAAAACTGTCCACTTGTGTTTTTATGCCGAGAGCCGTCTGCAAAATCTGTCAGATGCTTTCTGTGCTTCCAGATGGTGAACACGACGCGTGTTTACACACATATGCTTCTAGATCCTGAACATGTCGCGTGTTTACACACATATGCTTCTAGATCCTGAACATGACGCGTGTTTACACACATATGCTTCTAGATCCTGAACATGACGCGTGTTTACACACATATGCTTCTAGATGCTGAACATGACGCGTGTTTACACACATATGCTTCTAGATGCTGAAACAGTCCATTGAGGCAGCCAATGAGATTTTAGCGAATAGACACATCTCGCATTTACATGCGTTTTGGTGCATTTGGTGCACATCTGCTCCAGTTTTGATAAATTCCCCCATGTGTATAGAATGTAATGACTAAGGTACCTTAGACCAATGTAACGGAGGGGGAGAGAGAGGCTCCAGAGGCATACGGCCGCGTATTCCCATAGAGAAGGACAGGGGCTGCGTACTAATCACACGCAGCACCTGTCCTATCTGGGAGCTGCTTGGTATGGCCATGCACGCAGCACGGAGCTGTACATGCCGGCTTTTTCTAGTGTGAATGAGGCCTAAATGCTTACAAAACAGAGTAATATGAACACTCTATTCTATGTAGAGTAACACAGTAGCAGTGATACGCAGGAAATGTCTTTATCCTTGTAAGGTCACAATAGGATCATATATATCCCTCTGGACCTCTGTTTAAATAAAAGGTGTGTGTGTTTGTGTAAGGTGTGTTTAGGGTATCCGTGTGTCTAATTGCAGGGCAAAGTCTTCTACCGTACCTGGGAAATAGGCTGTCAGCAATATTTAAGTGCTGTTAAAGGTATTAATGAGAAACTAGAATATTTTGAAGGAGACAGCCTAGTTAATGGCAGGGCTATAGATACTCGCAGTAACAGGTTTTATGTTTTGGTGGATGAGATTCATCAAGAAGATAAAAAGAGGAAATAGAACTGAAAAGGGAAATACGATTTATTATTGTTTCATATCAGTTGTATGCTTCAGGCCCACAAACTTCCATGTCTGAGGATCCATTCACATATAGCGTTTGCGTTTCCCACGCGGGACAAAAACGCAAAAAGCTTTAATCTGCACGCATTATGCTTGTTTGATGCTATTATATAACCGCGAACATGCGGAATCCGCCATAATATCGCGCTTGTACTATTTTGTGGGCTGCGCAGTTTTGTACCGCGCGGCAGCCGCAAAGGTCTACACAGTGCACATTTAAAGTGCATTGTTTTTTCTCTTTAGAGCGGCTTTGCGCGTATTCAGCGCAACTGCTCCTGTGTGAATGGAGCCTTATGGTTAACCCTCAGTTAATACAGAATGATCAGGTCACCGGCGTGCACACACAGATGAATTCAATATATGTTTATTGAAGATTGTCACGGCATGTCATTAGAAGCTGAGGTTGCAGACCGTAAGGAGTGCGGGTGGTTCTTGGAAACAACTCAGCTAGTAAAGAGGATGGCAGACGTCTCCAGCATATAACAATTGAAGTTATAGGAACCACAAACAACAAGGGTACAATGTATTCAGCATGTCAGCAAGAGGTCTGTACCGCGCTGCCGCATCAAAGTCTGGACAAGACTTTGTACATTAAAGTGCATTGTTTTTTCTGTTTAGAGTGGCTCCATATGTATTCGGCCGGCCAAATAGGTGCGGACAACCCCTCCTGTGTGAATGGAGCCTTATAAGTCTCAATGTTTTCATGTGCGAGTTACTCAGAGTGAGCAATGCTAATACTAAGTATCAATACTAATGAGCTATAAATCATATCTGCTTTACGTCTTGTTCACCCAGCAGGCACGCTCAACCCCTGCTGGTGTGCATGTGCCTGGACAGCGCCGATGCGCTCGATCGAGCTGCATTACACTGGGTTTTTTTTTGTTAGAACTTTATTGAAATGTCACAAGTGACATTTCATTAAGTTCTATGGGCTCACTGTGGTGCGATGTGGTTGTACTGCATCTCATTGAAGTGCGCTTTAAAAAGTATTGCATGCCATCACCCCCTCATCTTGCATTCTGTGTTAGAAAAAATGGCTAACACAGCAGATGGTGTGAACAAGTATCTATATATTGTTATATTTTATAGATTTGTAGGATATATATATGAAAAATTTCTGTTTAGAAAGAAAAAATAAATAGGTTTACTTTCACATATTTTTATAATGGTAACATATTAGACTGCACTTTACAAGGTACGCAGAGCCATTCAAGTCAGAATAGGAATAATATGGTGAATATTTATCTCTTAAAATCAAAAGCTGCTTTTCCAAAGTTACTGATTCCAGCAGAAACAAAGTATTTGAAGCCTCTATTTTACTGGCATAGCGCCATCAAGTGGATGGTCTGGTGAACTACCTTTCCACTATATGTAAGGGGTTGCTAATATTTGACACCTATAAGCTACATTTCAGCTAAAAAGAATCAAATATTTTAGAGTATTAAATCCAGAAATGTTAAAAACACAGCTGCAGTCCTCATAGTGATCTCACAGGAAAAATGATCATTAGATTTAACATTTTGATGGTACTTTTTGCCAAAGGTGGCAGCTAACAACAAAGGCTGCAAAGCAAGGTTATACAAATGTATGTAGGAGAAGGTGAAAACCCCTGCCAGCGTTTATTTTTTGTCTGTGTCCTTGTTAAGTGATTTCCCCTCACTTTCCTGCCTAGTTAAACTGGTGTCACAGGAATAGTAAGTGAGGAGAACATATTCTACTATATATGCATTCTACCATACTATATAGTTGCGTCTTGTTAATGGCACATTATCATTTTGATTCTGCTCATCCTTTAACCCATTTTTCTTATCTTTCAATTTTTCCAGCCAACAGAACCTTACCTTTTACGTAGAATCGGTTCTGGATCCTTGGCACCTCGTCTCAGACTTGGAAGTTCTGGAGTGACCAGTGATCTTCTGTTTACTAGAAGGTTCAGTGGGAACTGCTTATCGACTCACAGTTCAGGTATGTTACAAGAGACTTCTGAAAAACGGTCCTGCGTGCCACCAAATCTTCTATATAAAGTACAGATTAATTCATAGATGCTATGCAATGTATTTTCAGTCCAACATGGTATGCCTGACAAGGCTGGCCAGATTTGGTGTACTAAGTGAAGTTGGATCTGCCTGGAAAGCACTTTGGTTTTGTACAATGTAGCATATACGTTTGGCAGATGACATCCTAAAAGTGTCATTGATTGAGTGGATTGATTTGTGCTCATATGGCCAATGCAATTCTGTAATTTTCTTGTTTAAGTCTAGTATTTTATATAGTTTTGTATGTAAAGTAACCAGTGAGTTTAGTAATGCACAATATAATACAGTCTTGATTTCCTTCTCTGCAGGATTCTATGAGAATAGTGATTTGGACTCCATCTCGTCTTCCTGCTCCTCCCTTTGTAGTGATTCGTCCTGCCACACATCCTTTTCTATGATGTCACCACACCGAAACTCAGTGATTAGGCCAAGGTCCATAGACTATACTAACGAACGCAGGAAAGAATTGCAAAGTGGAAGGGCACAACCAAGGAGACCCATATCAGCAGGTAACAAAAAGATTGCATAAATCCATAAAGTTTGTCTTCATATGAAATAAAACACTTGAACTAAGTCACAATAGGATGCAAAATCATTGTATGAGATGTAGCTGTAACTTACCACTTTGTTATCCACTTCCTGCAGGTGCACTGGAAGGCTATTCTCTATCCTCCATTTCCACTTCACGGTATGACATCACTCAACATAATGACAGGACTAGTTGCGACTATACATATTCTTCTACTCCACCACTCTGTGCCATCCAGCAGCGCTGTAAAGCCGAGCGCTATATTTGCAAGCTCGCACTCAAATACCGCTGTAAGCCAGGAGTGTCTAATCCTCTCCCTGACCTTGGACCACGAACTCCTAGAACTCCAGCCTCTGCTTCCCTTTATTCTGAATGCTATAACAGCTGCCCCCCTTCACCTCAAATCAACTCCCTGTCATCCAGCTTAGGAGACGTACGGAAAACCCCTAAAGGCTCATGGGGACGTTTCTTTAGTCGTGTCATGCTTAAGAAGGACTCAAGGATTGCAGCTTCAGAGCTAAACCTGCAGCACTGTATCTACAGTCCACAAAAAAGCCTACGAAGTCCATCCCTAGCAGACGGTCAGCTTGTGAGGGCAAAATCCTTCCGTGATTTGCTCTCCGTTAACCCATTCAAGAAAAGCCAGAGGGGGCTGAACAAAGTATGGTAGTTACATTTCAGTAAAACGAAGACTGGAAATTCTTAGCACAACATCAGTAATTGTGAAAAGTAGATTTTCTTATACTTGGAACTCTCTATGGAAATATATATTATGAATAATGTTTGTATAGTCTGATTAAAGGACATTTTTACTGAAAGATATATGTAGGATGCCAGTGGTGACATCCTTTTAAAAGATGCTAATTGCCTGACTGTAATCCTCATCTTTTACCTTCAATGCTTTCCAAGTCACAGACCTGAAACAAATGTCAAACAGTTCTGACTTTACTTCTTACCTAATTGTTCTGTGTCTGACTAAGAAAGATACATATAATTTTTATATAACAATAGAAATAAAAAATGAAGCCTAACTTGAGCAACAAACTAGCCATTACACAAAATATGTTTCCATCCAACAGCGGCCATGCTTACCTTTCACATATGCAGCACACACACACACTGTAAACTAATCTGTAACTAGCACAGCATGGGAACTACTAGAGCTGAAATCCAGTGGAATTCCAAACGTTTATCATGATATGTAACTTAACTGGTGTTACTTATGACTGCTGCAGTTTTCCTTTGATTTAGCTGTGATTTCTTTTTCTTAATGTTTACATTGCTTAAGTACTGCCATTTACATCATGTTAGGTTGTGTTTCTTTTAACTCCATTTTTATGTTTTATTTCCTTTCATAGCAGAACATCTATGATCCCAGGAATATTCTGCCCCTTTCCATTCTACCTTTGGCACTTTTTATTTCTGAATGTTGCACTTTGTGTTCTATTATCCTATGCAGTAGAAAAGTGAAAGGCATCCAAACTGTTAAGGCAGATGCTATCTTAAAGGGTCAGGTCACCCAAAACTGATATGCCAGATTTCTTTTTTGTAGATGTTGGACCACCTTGTATTCATAGGTCTGCACAACTGTTCCACTCTTCCTATTGGGATTTTCTATATATATTAAGGGGGATTTCATTATTTTATGTTATGTTATGGAGAATGCAAGAGGTTCTGAAATGTGCAGGGGTGGGCCGGAATATCCAACACTCTCAGGTGGACAGCAACAGGGTCAGTAATTAGGGCAGGGAGATTTCAGTGTTGGAGTATCCAAGAAATATTAAGAAGCCAACAGATGATTCAACCCAACAGGTTTTCCATCTGTTGCTAAAATATTATTCTGGTGGATTTCGGGCTAGTTCACACCAGCCCCAGTGTGTTCCGGCACGGTTCAGAGCTGGAAAGCACTGGACCGCATCCCAGCCGGCTCACTGCGTTCTGGCATGGGAGGGGGCATGGCATTAAAGTCAATGGCACCGCAGCCACAGTGCGATCAGCCACACCAGCATGCGTGGTACATCAATGCCTGTGTTCAGTTCTGGTGCGATCAGAAAAAATGCTGCATGCACTATTTTGTTTGATCGGACCGGAACGCAGCCATTGATGTGCCACGTCTATGCCTATTTTTTTCCAATGCAAATGCATTATTTTTTATAGAAGCTGCGATTTTTGCTGTTGGAGAAATTAGCCAGCAAACAGCCACGTTCAGCAGCTGTGTGACCAGATTTGTACCCTGTACAAATCAATGGCCAGTGCTGTTCACATGTAACCGCTCATAGCAGCAGCTACATGCGAAAGAGGTTTCTGACGGGAAACACAACAGGCCAAAAATCATGCATTCAGCAGTTATAGCACAATAGTGCAGTGTGAACGGGCCCTAATTAAAAAAAACAGGTCAGTCATGTTAGTTAAGGAAGCTTTCATATTTCTGCTCCAACAGATTCCCTTTAATGCATATTATTTACAAAAATGGAATAAGACACAAAAAAGAATAAAACATTGTATGCAAAATATAGAGATGTGGAAAACAATGGTAATCCAAAGATATTATAGGGATATTTTTCTTTTTGGTAGAATATGAGTAATTTCTAATAGTAAGACTAGGCTATACCTAAACCTTGAACCACAACTTTGATTTTCCCTGTTACTGCCTTATATATTTCATTTTCTTTGTATTCTTTCTTTGTATTTGCAGAAAACTAAATAAAAAAGCAAGCCATTGTTTTTACATTTTTCAGCAGATTTGTTATTTAAAGTGTATCTATACCTAACACATACAAAATTCAGCTACGGCACTTTCACCCTTTTCTGTGCCCTGACACATTCCGCTATTGTCACCACAGTAAATGGTGATGCTTAAACCTCACCTGGAAAACACACATATCCACAGGGAGTTCTTGGAAACGTGTACAGGATTAGGGCTGAAACAACTAAAACGACAAATTTGATAATTGATAATGTCAACGATTTTCATTATCGATTAGTTGATCACTCGATTAGTTGGGCTGCTTGCACCCTCACTCCCTCCCCTTCCCTGCCTCACTCGCATGCTTGTTATTGAAAGGCCGGGCCGTCCCAGGGAAAAGCTGTCGGGAGTCCCAGGGGAGCTGCAATTAGCCCCGAACTAGGGGCGGACTGACTGTTCGGGCACTGCCCAAAGACCCGCAACCTCTCCATGTCTCATCCTCCTCCCACCCCGGGCTTATCATAGTGGACTGTGGACGGGTTCATTAGGACCATCCCTAGGAAGAGCATTGAGTGCTGTCGAAAGCCTAAATAAACGCAGACTTTTCGGGCACTGCCTGAGGATCTGCGGCCTCCCCCGTGTCTCAGCTTCCTCCGCCTCCTCGGTGTGATCATAGTGGACTGTGGATGGGCTGAATAGCAATGTACAACTGGTGTAAGTAGTGTGTATTATGTGCCATGTGTATATTATGTGTTGCATGTGTGCTGGGTGTGTATATGTGTTACATGTGTGCTGTGTGTGTATTATGTGTTGCATGTGTGCTGTGTGTGTATTATGTGTGTATTATGTGTGCTGGGTGTGTATTATGTGTTACATGTGTGCTGTGTGTGTTTTATGTGTGCCGTGTGTGTATTATGTGTTGCATGCGTGCGGTGTGTGTGGATTATGTGTTGCATGTGTGCAGTGTGTATTATGTGTTGTCTGTGTGCATGTGTTGTATGTGTACTGTGTGTATTATGTGTTGCATGTGTACTGTGTGTGTGTATTATGTGTTCTATGTGTGTGTGCTGTCAGTGGCGTAACATTTGGGGGCCGACACAAAGACTGGGAAAACACAATTAAGTCTGTGAAGCCCATGACACACTGCATGCAGCGCACAACAAATTGAAGCAGTGGTGTACGGAGCTTTGCGTGCAGTGTGTCTAGCAATATCCTCTCTTGGGCTCAGCTTGGCGAGATGAAAAATGTCAGTAAACACTTTTACTTGTTGCACTCCTTGCAGAAATGTCACCAGCACACCAAATCTTTTCAGGATAGCAAAATGTTTAGAAAAACAAAGCGCTTTCGGGACCACGCATGGTCCCTTCACGTCAATGCTAAGCCTGATGAAGGGACCCTGCGCACGACCCTGTTTTCCTTCCTGCACAAGTTCTTTCTGTGAAATACTGTATGTGACATATGCCAGGTATTTAGAGTTATGCAGAAAGAATTGATATATGTCCATTAAATAAACAATAAAACAATTAATAATGTTGAATAATTAAATAACTAATATTTATTAACAATTAACTAAATAATTAACATTAAAAAATGTATAATTAATTAAAAATTTAAATACTTTTTGTTACTCGATTAATCGAAAAAATTATCGCTCAACTACTCGATTATGAAAATAATCGTTAGTTGCAGCCCTATACAGGATGTAGGATAGAAAAACATGAACAAAGTAAGATAAAACTGTATTTAAAAACTGGCACCTGTACTGATAGCTGCTCTGATCTACGTGGGAGAAGTGTAAACTTGCTGTAGCAGGCAGGGCTTTGTTTACTTGTTATGTGAGTAGTGGTGACAGGTTCTCTTTAAAAGGATCATGTTGTTAAAAGAATTATGTAGTCTTCTAACTGCGCCGGGCCACGGGGAGTGCTGGATGTGCTCCCAAGTACAACACCTTAACCCGCCGCCAGCTTTCTGAGGCATGTACAGATCATTCAGAGACAGGCATGGAACATGCACATCTAAAAGGGATGCCAGGGATGTCCTGTTTGATAAAACATCCGTGAAGGTGTCACTGAAAAATAGAGCTCTGTTTCAGAGGAGCACCGCCAGCAAAAGCAGCTGCACTCGGCTGGAGCAGAGCTCAATGTTTTTCAGTGACGCCGATGTTTTATCAAACAGGACATCCCGGCATCCCTTCAGGCACACATGCGCCTTGCCTGCCTGGCCCTGGATGATCTGTACATGCCTCAGTGCGGGCTCTGCAGGGAAGGGGGGTCATTCCAGGATCTGAAGGCTGCAGGAGACAGAGTGGCCAATCAGGTAGCAGGGGCTGAGGAGGGCTTGTATTCTCTGTGAGTGTGCTTCTGTTTGTATGCCTAAGTCCACTGTGTTGCAAAGTCCAGAGTCCATTGCATTCCTAAGTCCAGAGTCCAGTGCGTTTCTATGTCCAGAGTCCATTGCGTTTCTATGTCCAGAGTCCATTGCCTTCCTAAGCCCTGAGTCTAGTGCGTTCCTAAGTCCAGAGCGTTCCTAAGTCCAGAACGTTCCTAAGTCCAGAGTCCTGTGCTTTCCTAAGTCCAGAGTCCAGTGTGTTCCTAAGTCCAGAGGGTTCCAAAGCTCCAAGTCCAATGAGTTCCTAAGTCCAGAGAACAGTGTATTCCTAAGTCCTGAGTCTAGTGCATTCTTAAGCCCTGAGTCCAGTGCGTTCCTAAGTTTGGTGCGTCCCTGAGTCCAGTGTGTTTTTAAGTCCAGAGTCCAGTGCGTTCCTAAGTCCAGAGCGTTCCTAAGTCCAGAGTCCATTGTGTTCCTTAAGTCCAGAGGGCAGTGCATTCCTAAGTCCAGAGTGCAGTGCGTTCCTAAGTCCAGAGTCCAGTGCGTTCCTAAGTCCCAAGTCCAGTGTGTTCCTACTTCCAGAGTCCAGTGCATTCCTAAGTCCAGAGCCCAGTGCGTTCCTAAGTCCAGAGCTTTCCTAAGTCCAGAGTCCAGTGCGTT